AGCCTAGGTCCTCGGGGGGACTTATAGAGCTTGAGCGAGCAGATCGGCTAGACTCCAGCACTTTTAAGCGCCTGCAAGTGGCTTTGTGCCAACTGTTCAAGGAAGGTCATCCCGGCCATGCATTTAAACAGTTAGACGCGCTGCGAACAGGCTGAATGCCTCCAGCCAGGCTTATGTACTACTACGGAGGTTCCTGGCAGCACCTGCAAGCGGCTTCACGCCAACTGCCACTGGCCTCGTTTGGGCCTTGGGTGTCTGAAATCATCGACTCGATGCAATGATGGTTCTCGGCAAGCGTCGAAACCACCTGCAGCAGGATCCGCTGCATTGGGAGCTGTTTGATGGTACCCAAACTTGCTCTACTTGTTGCTGGTCGGCGTCTTTTCACCAAACACTCATGTTGCAGAATGTGCCCATGTGTCCTAGTGGTGACACATGTACACGAGTCCCATGAAGCTGGAAAACAACAGCACCAATGTTAGATCAAATTGTTCTGCACTTGAGGTCTACTTCTCAGACGCTCGGATCCTGGCCAAGCAGAGAGCCCCATCCTTCCCTTACTCAACTCAAGGTGGCTCGGAGGGGGTTGAGTGGCTTGGGAGGGCTTTCCTGGTTCGAAGGGTTCCTTGGATAGCTTCCTTCCCTTCAACGAAGGTTTGGGGCTTCGAGGAAAGCCCTGGGATCCTCAGAACTTGGCTCCCCGATGCACCCAAGGACTTGTAGATTGGTGGAAACTCCCGGATGGAAATCTAGGCATTCCACGCTCCTTCCTCCACCTGAAAATAATTTAAATATGTGAAGTTGAAGAAATGCTTCTCCCAAGGCCCAAGGCTTCCTACCGTGCGCCTTGACCGGCTCTCCCTTGACGGCCCGGCAGATCACGCACATCAGCGTCGAGCACGCCACAAAAAGGGGCGCCACCGACCTGGGCTCGCTTCTTGGGCTTGGGCTTGGGGTTTTAAGGGACTTGGAGGAGTTGATGATGATTCGGGTGCAGGGATTTATAGGGTTTATAGGCCTCAGCAGGGAGTCGACCCCCTCCCTACACTTCCTCCCACCTTCCCATCGTACTTCGTCTTACGAACCTTGAATTTCACCTTCGCCGGGGGGGGCGGGGGGGATCCCTGGAGTGTGGATGATCACGACACTTGTTCCAGTTTGTCTGCACCTAGCATTTTGATTGTTCATTACCATCTCCCTCTGACTGTGTTCCAACACTTTCCGTCGTTCCACACTGACGCCATGCCCCCTTCCTCTTCAAATCTGCAAGAGTTCGACGAAACACGTTTCGCCCAAGGCTTGTCTACTGCGCGCCTCGACCAGGCGCGGATGTCATCCGGCTCGTCCTTGACGTCCAGGCAGAGCAGGCCCACGCTTGGGCCATCATAAGAGTCGAAAGCGCGAAAGGGCACCCGGGCACCCCACGGACCTGGGCTTGCTTCTTTGGCTTACGGCTTGTAGGGCTTAAAGGGCGGAGTTTAGGATTTTGGCATCGTACCTCCGAACAACTCCCTGTACTGCCCCTCCACGGGGTGATTTGTGAAGCAAGGGGCTGCTTTTCGGGGTACTTTCTGCAAAGAAGCCTGGTTCGAGCGGTATCTCGGAGTCGACTCCAAAATTAAAAGAAGACCCCCAATTGGTGTTCCGCGCAATGCTGCGATTCTTCGTTTCACCCCAAGACCCTGCCGAGGCACATTAAGGCAAACTCGACGTCCGTGCCGCTCTGGTTCCAGCTGTCTGCACCTCGGAAGCTCATGCATCTTGCCTCAACCATGCTTGTCAACATTCATTATGTGACTCGCCCCTAAGGCCTTTAAACCCTTTTGGAGCCCAGCCGCAAGGCTTGCGGACTTAACCCGGTGGCACCTCCGGAGGTGAGGCAGCGACCACTGCGTGGTCGAGGATCTCCTCGTCGTCTGCAAAACATCTCCTCGAAAAGCATAGGTTCTGACTGTTCCGAGACTACAATTACAAGCAGGGCACCTCTTGCTGTGGTGGGTGGTGACCTTGCTGCGGGGTTCTTCTGATCGTTGAGCAAAAAAATCTCATTGACATTTTAAAACGAGAACCCCATAAGCCCTACAAACACTACGTGCTCACATCCTTGGGCCCCTCAAGCACAACCCTTAAGTTATGGGTATTTCCCAAAATAGAGGTACCCCTTTTATACCCCACTAGAACCCCTCGGCACCTATTTTGGAAACCCCGCTGAGAAGCCCCGCCGGAAATGAGAAGAAATGGCTTTTTCTGGCGCCCCGTCTCCTGGGATCCTTCTCAACAACCCGGGAGGCGCCAGCGGCAGAGGCTGTGTCTTGCACCATACGACACTCGAAAGGCCATTCTGCATGCTCGTGCAGCATACCTACTTCACAACTTGCGGCATATGTTATGTGGGCTTGTACAGAATATGAACCAAGATGAACCAAGGTAGTGGGGCTAGGTCTGCAGGCAACCTTAGGCCAAGGGCGTGGTCCGGTAAGCTCGTCCGTGATGGTGCCGAATCTAGTTCTTGGCCTCCGCTCACGTCGTTCCTTCTCCAGCTTCCATTTCGTGCCAGTGTCTCTGTTTCAGTTGACTCTTGATAGCTGGTAGAATCACAGAACCCCGAAGCATGGAAGTTGGAGGCTTCTTGGAAGAGTTGCATCTCATCTGCCTCCTGCCTTATCTAAGTGCCAGAAGCAATTCCTCCCAAGCGCCGGACGCCCGCCCGTATGAGTTAAGCTCCCACTCCCATGGCCAAGGCCTTTTGACAGGCACAGGGCACGTTAGCATGAAAGTCTTTTGCTTGGGTGAGACATGGTGAGACATCATTGCAGCAGCAGCCAGATACCAACGAATTCAGCGTCGTCATGGAGGAGCATCTCCCCATAGGTTGGGAGATTCTTTGGGGGCGGGTTTGTTTGGAGCCCTTGCACGGTCGATGCGAAGGAAGCCGGGAGACCGCATCCCCGAGGGAAAAGGAAATGTCCCACCCACACCCCGAATTGTCGGGGCTGCGGTCTCCCCTTTTGTTTTCTTCAACAGCTTCCGGCTCCGAAGCCAAACCCACCAAGAGGCACCTCTGTGCCACAAAGTGTATGTGCTGCCAGGCCCTACGTGGCCCGGGGGGCCTCTTCTTCGATCATGACTCTAGTCAACCCTAAGCCCTAAGCCCTAAGCCTAAACCCAAAACCCTAAACAGCTCGCTAAACCCTAAACCCCAAAACCCTAAAAAAGGTTTTTTATCAGCGCCTATCAGCTCCTCAGGGCCTCTTTGGATGCTTCGGAAACCACAACAGCGTTTGGCGTCGCTTGGCGCTCGAGGACTTCACTTCTCAACCCTCAACCCCCCAAACCCAGACCTTCCAAGCCCTGTAAGCCCAAAAAAAACCCTAAACCTATAAACTTTTAAACACCCTAAGCCTACATTTCCAAGCCCGAAGCCCCAAAAACCCTAGTTTTATGGGAGAGCTTCCCCCAGAGCTGGGCGGTCGTTTGGCCTCTCTCTTCGGAGGGCTCAAAAGGACTGAATTTTGCGAGCGCTGTGGGCATTCGCAGTTCTTATAAGTTGGCCCCCTTGAAGCCCTCAGATGCTAAGATACTCTTACGAGGATTCTTGGCAGTCTTGTGGAGCCCACAACGCTCCTAGCGCTGCGGGCGGAGCTTCAGATCTTCCATGGTACGATCCCGGAAGGCAGCAGCGACTGCCTGCATCATCGAGATTTCTGTGGTGCTTCGTATACAGCTGGGAATGGACTTCCGCGAATCTGCTTTTTGGCCACATGTGTTCCGACTAGCAGCAGCAAAAGGGACCTACCCAGCCACATGAGCGAACCCGACCGTGTTAGCAATGTCCTGACATGCATCGGGGGCAGCAACCTGTGCCTGAACCTTGCCAGTGAAGGATCTCAGCATTGGCGTCGTGACCGGGGGTTGCTCTAGATGAGAGGTTTCGTTTGAATACCCTAAAAGCAGCCTGCGATATAAGAGCCCAAAAAGGAAACCATGACTTATATAGAGCAAGCCCAAAAAAGATCCAAAGCTTCCACCGGAAACATCAAGCTGAAGGGGTTGAAACACTCCCAAGCCCGGCTTTCCTGACCTCCACGCCGGCGTCGCTGAGAGAATTCTCGTGGAGCCAGAGCGTGTTGAGCAGTCTGTTGTCGCGGAGGCCGTGGACCAAGGCCTGCGGCGCGGCTTGTTGCTGAGGGGCGAGAGAGAGAGAGAGAGAGAGAGAGAGAGAGAGAGGCATTCGCAATTGTTGCTGCTTTAGATTCACTGCGTGGCCGTTCATCGAAGCGCCCTGAAGACTCAAAACTTCTAGGTCCAAGACCTCCAAGAAAAAACCCCGAAGCCGGACAGCAAAAGGGACAAAGCCGCGCAAACCCCGCACCTCGGCTCCCGCATCGCTGATCCGGTTCTGACTCAGGGTCAGCCCGGTCAACTGCAGCAGTCGCGGCAGGACCCCGGCCAAGGCCTGCGCAATGACACCGAAGCCCGGCAACACTCTGTGAGCCCGACACAGTCACTTCGCCTTTTTAAGTTTCTGAGGGCCATGCTTTGGTTCACAGAACGTGGGGCTATGGAGCCACGCTGCTGGCCTGCACCTACTATAGCTATACCCCTTTCACCAATGCGACTCAGGTCTCACTGTGCTCTTAGCCGCCGTCACCAACAGTGAACCCAAGAGGCCAAGGGGACTCTTGCAATCTTACACGAAATCTCAGCGTGGAGCTGTGCACCGATTCTGCGAAGCTGCATTGAAACTTACTCTCGAAGAATACAGCAACAGGCTACCCTGGCTGCAACATGCCTTTGAGAACTCCAATGTAAAATGCTCCGCCTTCCCGCATATACTTCTTCAGAACCCCCTCACCGTCCTCACCCGTGCAAGCTTAGTCCCACAGAGCTTCCTCGTGCATTTCACTCCTGGGCTGTCTTCCCCGGCGCAGAAGTGAAAGGATGATGAGCCGCAAAGGTTGTTGGATTGTCGGTTCCTAAAGAATGCCAACGTCGTCGGCCTGCGCGCCATCATCGCCGAAGCTGTTGTCGCGCAAGCCGAGATACTGCGCAGTTGCCAAAACAATACAAGTATCAATCTCAGACGCTACCATACGCTACTTGCTCACTGGAATACACAATGCGAACAGTGCACCTGCACAGGGCCTGGCAAGCACATTCCACTCCATCACGAGGCTTTCTACAGGGCTGCAATTCAGCATGGCAACACAGCCTGCATCTGAGTGAGGTGCTGGAGGACTTCGGCCAGGGCCTGCATATGATGCCCGCTTCCCAAAACCTAGATTTAGAATGTTTAGATTCTAGACTCGCAGCACGTCGCTCTTTCAGCTGCGCGTCCCAATCCCATGCAGCTGCTGCAGCATGCTGTTTCCTAGCTTCCAATTGAACCGATTTCAATGGGAACTCCTGGGAGGTTACGAATGAATGATTTGTTATGATTTGTTGATTTAGAGGGCCCAAACTCGATGCCGAAAAATGGTGTCTTGCAAGGGCCTCCCCAGTTGCTACTTTCTGTTTTCCATGCACGTTTGGACAGCATGCTCACCCCACTTGGAGTTCGCCGCTGGGGTTCACATCAATCTTCAGATGTTCGGGAAGCAAATTTTTCTGCGGTGCTGAAGCAGGTGGCAGGAAGAACAAATCACATATACCAGCTGCAGCTCGAGACGATGCCTGGAGCCCGGCATCTGTGATGGAGTTGCTGAACACCCTCAAGTCGCTGAGCTTCGCATGTGGCCGCAGCGCGCTGGCCAGGGCCTCGCCCCACGTGCCCCATGCCGCAAGCAACATGCGCTGCATGGACTTGCCCTCTTTCCACAAACAAAAACCTTACAATCCAATTGAACTGGCTGGCAGCCCCAACCTTCCAGCAAACCATCCGCGCACAGGATGCCCCGTGCCAAGCCTTGATGCCACCGTCGCCAATGCGGTTTCCGTAGAGCATCAGCGCCTTCAAGGCCGCGTGTCCGCCCAGGCCAGCAGCGAGAGCCTGCCCCGCACCCCCCAGTCTGAAGACCAGGTGCATTTACGATAACGAAAGTTTTGTGGACTGTGTGGACTGAAGGAAAATCGATCGCTGATGCCGGGGGCGAGGGCTTTCATGCAGGTTCCCTGAACTTGCTTTGGCTGTGCCGATGAGCCTAAAGAACGTCTTCCTGATCCCCCGAGCCCCATTGACAATCCGTCACAACTGAATGACAGGTTTGTCCTGTGTGTTTTGCTGCTTCGTAATGATTGGCGCCGTGATTGGTGCTTGAGCACGTCGGAGTTCGGGGGCCCTGGGCTTGGTTTATCCTGGCCCGGCTGCCGAGCCCAGAAACCAGAAGTCGCGAAAAGAAAAACACTGCAGATCCTTGGGCGCGGCTCCCAGGGCCTCTAGACTCGAGAGAAGTTGGGGAGAGTGAGGCCCAAGCTGCCAGAAAACTTGCGCCAAATGCTGAACTTTGCATGTTTTCAGGCGCTCTTAGCATGAGGTGACTTGCCTGAATGTCGAAAGTTCGGCTTGCGGCATTTCTCATTTGCAGTGTGCATGGCTCCATCTGCCAAAATAGAATTCCTCACGTGCTGGCACTGACTCACGGGTCCCTTTAAATTCAAGAGTTTGACAAGGCCTCCGAAGTTTGTAGAACAAACTTGTACGCCGTTCTTTCTGGGAGATGAGCCTATATAGACCTCTTCCTGAAACCTTTAGCCCCATTGAGAAGCCGCCACAACTGAGACGGAGGATGAGAATGGCTGGTGCCGTGGTGGGTGCTTGAGCGGGTCGGAGTTCAGGGGCCCTGGGCTTGGTAATCTTCCTGGGCCCGGCTGCCGGGCTCAGAAACCAAAAGTCGTCAAAAGACGAAAACAGAATGACAACGCACCACCACGAGCATGAATGGGGGGCGGGCGGAACAGTGCATCACTACAGGAAGTACACGGACCATGGAGCAACCTCCCTCCACCATCCCTGACGAAGGATACGATTTAGATACGTCTTGGAGGCCAGCAGCGTTTTCAAGTTGCCCTGGGGTCTTTGAAAAGGGAGTGAAGTGGTGTCCTGTCGTTAAGATCTGTCTACAGGGCACAGACCTAAGCCCAGGCTTCCCAACCCCCTCCTGCGCTGCTTCTGCCAACAGAATGCACGGCCCTCCTCTCCCCGACTCTCGGACCCTGGGGCCTGCCAACTCTTGAGGCCTCTAACCCCATTTGGAAATTGCCAGAACTGAGATGTCTGGCTGGAAGGTGCTCGGCATCGGTTTCGTGCTGGAGCGCATCATGACTTTCGTTAGGACTGGCATGGGCTTGACGGTGCAGGAGTTCGGGCAATGGGCTTGGTCTATCTTGCCTCGGCTCAGACAAAAGCACAACATCAAATAAGACCAAGTCCCCCGATTCGATTTGGAAGATCCGAGGTCTGTATCAGTGCTACTTCAGTACTGTCTATGCGGAAAGCTGACGTCCGCCTCTACAGCCCGGAGGGCTTCACAACACGCGCTCGCTTAAGAAGTCTTCTGTGATATTTCCGCAGCGGCCCAGCCTGGGCTCCAGAGTCTCCGATGGCGTTCTTCGCCAGCCTCAGATCCTTCGCCGGGCGGGGCTGGTAGGAATGCGAACTTGTGGCATCTCAGAGCTCAGAGAAGATGCGGCCGCACGGCGATTTTGAGGCCTGCTGCTACCCTGGGCTTCAGCTTTGGGGCGATTCAGATCGAGGCTTCGGGGCAGATATCTCGCACTGCACCGCCTTGAGTTTCTTTAATGAAGTCAACAGACGTGATGACCATGCACAAGCTCTGCCGCCATATCCTTCCAAGATGCCTTGCAAGCTGACCGACCGCGGTTAAAAACTATCGTTGTCGTTGTGATACACCATGCTTTGCACCGGAAGCTCCTTATTGGACCCTCTTAGCCAGAAACCCTAAACATCCCGAAGCCCTAAACCGATGAAGAAGCGCGGCTAGGCAGCCCATGAACCCACAGCTTCGACAGAGGCTCCAAGATCCCTTTCAAACTTCGGGGGGAGATTCCTTCAACTCGCGCTTTAGGGTTCAGGGCTTTATAGGGTTTGGAGGAACCCTACAGCTATTTAAGGAATTTTCCTTGCTTAAGGGTTTTTGAGCTACCCTTCACGTTTGATCAGTCAAACCCGAATAGCATGCCGCTCCCAAGCAGAGCTCCCCGGCGACCTTTACAAACCCCGGCGGAGACTGGCAACTGGCGTCCTCGATGTTCGGGAGAGCTTTCAGAGCGTCCCCCAGGGCCTCTGCACACGAGGAAGTTTGGGGAGAGCGGGTCTTGGAAGTTGGGAGGGCCAATGTCCCGGACTTTGACTCGTCACAGTCCGAGGCTCTCAGGAAGACTCCGCTTGAAATGTTTTTTGTACGCACTTAAGACGGAACAGGCAGTGCACCTGCACCGAACAACTCCCAACTTGATCAACTCCAGGCCTGCGTCCCCGCATCGCCGAAGCCGTTGTTGGAGAGGCTTAGGTTTCTTAGGTCCTTGTGCCCTGCGAGGCCCTCGGCGATGGCCTGCGCACGGGCAGAAGTGAACCTTCGGCCCTGAAACTTGCCATCACGCAGCCGGATGTCCAAAATGTCTTCAGGGCCTGCCGACTCCAAACCTTTTCCCCCTCCCAAGGCCTGGAGCCCGCTGTCGCCGATGCGATTGGCGTGGAGCCACAGCACCCGCAGCGAGGAGTGGCCGCCCAGACCAGCTCCAAGCGCCTCCCGCAGGCGACCGAATGTACAGGACTCTTTGCTTTCGTTTGGAAACGGTGCAGATACCATGGGCTGGCCGGGCAAGTACCCCTTATCCGGGGATTCTGTAGGATAGCCAAGTTCTGTTTCCTAGGCTTGGCGGCACGTAGTTGTAGAACCCTCCCACAAAGTGGGGAAAGTCCTTGCTGAAACCCAAGGCATTTCCTCCTCGCAGGGTCTCCCGCACCCGACCCCCCCTCCCCCGCGGGCTCGCGCATGCAGGCCAAACAAAGGGGCGTAGAGTACCGACATCTTTCTATTCGCAGAATCTACATACAGAGGAAAGGAGGTTGAAAGCTCATGGCCGTAAGAAACTATATGTATTGCAAGTTATGCTTGGCGCAGGACGGGTATTGGAATTGTGAAAGTACTTCAATGGGCAAGATCTGATACTTTTGATCCTTAAGGGGGTTGTCGGTGAAGCAAGGGTATTGCAGATAGCCTCGCCTCTTAGGGGTTTGTCGGACAAGAAAGAGTACTGCAGATATCTTGGTGTTCTAATTGTGGATCTCTTACGGGGTTGCCGGTGCTGCAATCAACAGCATATCCTGAAGCCGAGTGTGGTGTGTAGGTATGTGAATGCAGCTTGCAGCTATCTCAAGTGTTTCCAGTCACGTCGAAAACAAACGCACTTTGGCGAGTCCCCACCACCCCAAGAACGGCAGCCAGCCACCGAAGCCTATCCTCATGAAATGGGAGAAAAGGTGACCTTCTCGAAAAGCAGGTTTATGGGCCACTTCAGCGTGTTTCAGACACAGTCGCGGCATGTGGCAGAGATTTCGGACATTGAAGGTTCTATGTTCCGGGTAGCGCAGGTGCCGCGGCGAGACCATAATGTTTCTAAAATCTCCCGTGAACGAATGGCGGATCGTTTGATATCGTTCGCACGTTGCTGTGTGGAGGTGGGCGAGGCGCTGGGACTCCATGTCACGCACAAGATCATGGAAATTGCACGGAGGACTCACGGAGGAGGTGGACGAGTCTTTGCGCTTGCATCCGCCTTCAAAACAATCCTGATGAGGGGTCCTTTGCAGACCTGTCTGCCAACGCTTCAGCAGTTTCTCCTGCGAGCCTGCGTGATGTTCGTTGCAAGGATTCCCCCAGGCTTCCCCCGCCCCCTCTGCACCATCAAAAATGACACTCAGGACTCCCCACACATCATTTGTCGCCCATGTGGCGCTGGCTCCCGAGGACAAAAACTCGCTTGAGCACTGACTAACGCCAGCCCTTTGGATGTTTCAGGCGCTCTTCGCATGAGGTGATTGGCCTGAATCTCGAAAGTGCGGCTTGCAGCATTTCGAATTTGCAGTGTGCCTGGGTCCATCTGCCAACATAGATTTTTTTCGCGTATAGGTGCTGACTCACGATGACAGGTCTGTCCTGTGCGTTTTGCTGCTTAGTACTGGCTGGTGCCGCGGAGGGTGCTTGAGCGCGTCGGAGGTCGGGGGCCCTGGGCTTGGCTTGTCCTCGCCCGGCTGCCGGGCTCAGAAACCAAAAGATACCAAGGTCGCCAAAAGACGACAACACAATGACAACGCAACACCACGAGCATAAATGGGGTGGGGGACAAACAGTGCACCACTACAGGAAGTGCACGGACCATGGAGCAACCTGCCATACGATTTAGAGACGTCTTGGGGGCCAGCAGCGTTTTCAAGATGTACTTGGGTCATTGAAAAGGGAGTGAAGCGGTGTCTGTCCTTTTCGTTGCAAGGTTCATGACGCAAGATCTGTCTAAAGGGCACGGACCTAAGCCCACGCACTCCCCTCCTTGCCCTGCGCTGCTTAACCAACAGAAAGCACAGCCCTCCTCCCCGACTCTGGGACTCTACCGCCTGCTAACTCTTGAAGCCCCTAACCCCAAATAGAAACTGCCAGAACTGAGATGTCTGGCTGGAAGGTGATCGGCATCGGTTTGGTGCTGGAGCGCATCATGAATTACGTTAGGGCTGGCGTGGGCTTGACGGTGTAGGAGTTCGGGAACTGGGCTTGGTCTATCTTGCCTCGGCTCAGACAGAAGCACAACATCAAATGAGACCAAGTCCCCCGCTAGATTCTATTTGGAAGATCCGAGGTCTGTATCAGTGCTACTTAGCGCTTTTTGACTTCAGTACTGTCTATGCAGAAAGCTGATGTCTGCCTCTACAGCCCGCAGGGCTTCACAAAACGGGCTCGCTTCAGAAGTCTTCTGTGATATTTCCACGGCGGCCCAGCCTGGGCTCCAGAATCTCCGATGGCGTTCTCCTGCAGCTTCAGCTCCTTCGCCGGGCGGGGCTGGTAGGAATGCGAACTTGTGGCATCTCAGAGCTCAGAGAAGATGCGGCCGCACGGCGGTTTTGAGGCTTGCTGCTACTCTGGGCTTCAGCTTCGGGGCGATTCAGATCGAGGCTTCGGGGCAGATATCTCGCACTGCACCGCCTTGAGCTTTTTGAATGAAGTCAACAGACGTGATGATTATGCACAAGCTATGCCGCCATATCCTTCCAACTTGCCTTGCAAGTTGACCGACCGCGGTTTAAAACTATCGCTATCGTTGTGATACCCGAGGCTTTGCAACGCGTGGTGCTGCCTTCTGCGCTTTCGGCACTCCGCACCACCTGTCCCACCCCAAACGCAATGACGCAGCTGCCCCCACTGCAGCGTCAAGCTTGGCAAATCTGAGGACTGATGGCCGACACTTCGCGACATCCCACGCGACTCAAAACCAAGGGTGGCTTGAGGGAGGTGCCTCAACTGGAAGCTCCTTATTGGACCCTCTTAGCCAGAAACCCTAAACATGCCGAAGCCCTAAACCGATGAGGAAGCGTGGCTAGGCAGCCCATGAACCCACAGCTTCGACCGAGGCTCCAAGATCCCTTTCAAACTTCGGGGGGAGATTCCTTCAACTCGCGGTTTAGGGTTCAGGGCTTTATAGGGTTTGGAGGAACCCCACAGCTATTTAAGGAATTTCCTTGCTTAAGGGTTTTTGGGCTCGCTCCCAAGCAGAGCTCCCCCGGCGACCTTTACAAACTTTCCGGCGGAGACCGGCAACTGGCGGTCCTGGATGTTCGGGAGAGCTTTCAGTGCTTCTCCCAGGGCCTCTGCACACGAGGAAGTTTGGGGAGAGCGGGTCTTGGAAGTTGGGAGGGCCATGTCCCGGACTTTGACTCGTCACAGTCCGAGGCTCTCAGGATAACTCCACAGGAAATGCTTTTTGTACGCACTTAAGACGGAACAGGCAGTGCACCTGCACCGAACAAATCCCAACTTGATCAACTCCAGGCCTGCGTCCCCGCATCGCCGAAGCCGTTGTTGGCCAGGATAAGGTCTCGTAGGCCCTTGTGGTCTGCCAGGCCCTCCGCGATGGCCTGCATTGGGACAGGCCACGGGCTGAACCGCGCCTTCCGCCCTCAATCTGGCCATCACGTTGCCGGACGTCGTAAAATATCTTCAGGGCCTAGACAGTCCCGACTCCGAACCTTTCCCCCTCCCAAGGCCTGGAGCCCGCTGTCGCCGATGCGATTGCCGAAGAGCCACAGCACCCGCAGCGAGGAGTGGCCGCCCAGACCAGCTCCAAGGGCCTCCACAGACGACCGAAACCACGAACTCTTTGTTTTCGTTTGGAACCGGTGTAGGCATCATGGGCTGGCCGGGCAAGTACCCTTATCCGGGGATTCTATAGGATAGCCAAGTTCGTAGTTGTAGATGGGGAAGGTGGGGTGGCAGGGGGTGGGGGGCTTGATAATAGTGGCGTGTTCCACGTGCTGCTCAACAACAGTGAGGTGTGGTGGGGTGGGGGGGGGGGGGGCTGATAATGGCGTGTTCCACGTGCTCCCCAACAACAGCAGGGTGGTGGGGGGGGGGGGGGGGGGGGGGGGGGGTGGGGGGCTTGAGAATAGCGTGTTCCATGTGCTGCTCAACAACAGGAGCTGCCCAGACCAGCTCCAAGGGCCTCCGCAGACGACCGAATCTATGGACTCTTTGTCTTTTGGAAACGGAGGATAGCCAAGTTCTGTTTCCAAGGCTTGGCGGCACGTAGTTGTAGAACCCTCCCACAAAGTAGGAAAGTCCTTGCTGAAACCCCAGGCATATCCTCTTCGCAGGGTCTACCGCACCCGGCCCCCCCTCCCCGCGGGCTCGCGCATGCAGGCCAACAAAGGGGCGTAGAGCACCGACATTCTTCTATTCGCAGAATCTACATACAGAGGAAAGGGAGGTTGAAAGTTCATGGCCTTAAGAAACTATATGTATTGCAAGTTATGCTTGGCGCAGGACGAGTATTGGAATTGTCAAAGTACTTCAATGGGCAAGATCTGACATGTTTGATCCTTAAGGGGGTTGTCGGTGAAGCAAGGGTGTGGCAGATAGCCTCGCCTCTTAGGGGGTTGTCGGACAAGAAAGAGTATTGCAGATATCTTGGTGTTCTAATTGTCGATCTCTTACGGGGTTGCCGGTGCTGCAATCAGCAGCATATCCGGAAGCCGAGTGTGGTGTAGGTATGTGAATGCGGCTTGCAGCTATCTCAATCAACAACAGGGGGGTGCGACAACAGCTTGACAATAGCGCGTTCCACGTGCTGCTCAACAAGGTCACGGCGCGGTTAGCGGCCGTGGGCCAAAAGCACACCAAACTGTGGTTTTAACCCACGCAGGACAGTGTTTCGCTGTTGAAACGTGTTTTTCGGAGACGTCTTTTTTTGTTAACTTGCAGTGAATCTTAGGCATTGTTGTAGTCAAAAGTACCACGCCTGCCAGTGTTTTGAGTATGTTCTCATCATCGTATTATGAGTAGGTTTTTGCGCGTTTGCTGTGTTTTTGCGGTTCTGTGGTTTGTGGTTGTTTGGGTCCTTGGGTCTTCGCACTCGCTCTCCTAACCGCTTCCCCAGGCTTAGCATATAAGGTTTTGGATTGTCAGGGTATAGGGTTAAGGGTTTGTGGTATAGCCTAGGGTGCTGTGGTTTTCCGGTCGTTCCCTCTTTCTTTTCCTCGGCGGTTTGAGGCTCAGGGTCGAAGACAAAGGTACGGCGCATCTCAAGATCCGCACCAGATGGGCCCCATTCGAGGCGGCACTGATGCAAAGGGTGTACAAAATAGAGATTCACGCAACCGTCGAACAGAAGCTCTGCAAGTACGTTTCTCTGTGTCAATGCTGGAAGTGTGGACTAGAAGAGTGCGTGTAAAAGGCTGGAACTGTCAATGCTGGAAGTGTGGACTAGAAGAGTGCATGTAAAAGGCTGGAACTGTCAATGCTGGACCAGACGAGTGCATGTAAAAGGCTGGAACTGTAGACTAGAAGAGTGTACATAAAACACGGCAAGGAAACAGAGGCTATCTGAACCAGAAGCAAGGAAGAAGAAGCGTGAAGACATGCCCGCAACCAACCCCCCCCCCCCCTCCCCCCCCCTCCTCTCCCCCCCGAAAAAAGTTGTAAAATTAGCGTTTCCCCCACGGCCGCTAACCGCGCCGTGAGCCTCAACAACAGCGAGGTGTGGTGGGGTTTGAGGGGGGGGGGGGGGCTGATAATAGCGTCAACAACAGCGGGGGGGGGGGGGGGGGGGGGGGGGGGGGCTTGATAATAGCGTGTTCCACGTGCTGCTCAACAACAGCGTGTTCCAGAGCAACTGTCCAACGTACTTTGGATGTAACATGCATTCTTGGCGCGAAGTGATCGTGCTGAGGTTTTTGGCACTTCCGTTGTGCTGACTCCATCTGCCAGAGAAGGATTTCTCACATGCTGGTGACCTTTATAGGGCAATCATCTTTACGAGATTAAGGTTTTGCTTTGGCATTGTCTAGCAGATGGACGGAGGCTCATCTCCATGGAGCTTGGTCCGGGCTTCTCCCCGTGGCCCTCCCAAGGTCCTGATGCCTTCCTGCACGGCTCGAGCCTTTAAAGGGGGTTATGGCCTGATTGGCTAGATTTGGCCGTCCACATGTTTGCTCGTGAATGGACGACCTGGGCCGCTGGTCTTTCATTTTCTCAAGTGACATGTCGCAGCCTCCTTGCTGGAAATCCATGCCCATACCCTACTGCAACCTCGCCGCAGACCATGGATACCCATGTATCCACAGGCCACCGCAACAAAAACAACTTTTCAAAATGCCTCAAGGTGTGCGCAGCTTTTGCCAGCGGTCCCTAAGGGCTGCCATCGTTCGAAGTCTATAGACCTCTTCCTCAGCTAGCTCCATTGAGAAGCCGCCACAACCGAGATGGAGGACCAGCATGAAAGTTTCCTCCGCTGCGTTTTGCTTTTAGTACCGGTTGGTGCTTGACTGCGTCGTAGTTTGGGCCCTGGGTTTGGCTTATCCCAGCCCGGCTGCCGGGCTCACAAAGCAAAATCACCAGAGGACAGAAACACAATAACAGTGCACCGCTACAGGAAGTGCACGGACCACGGAGCAACCTGCCTCATCCCTGAGAGTCTAGATGCAACTTGTCGAGTTTTCGGCATGAAGCAGTGTCTTGTCTTAGTCGTCTACATTGATTCCGAGCTTTTGCAAGACTCTGCAATTACTTAATTGTGCGGGAGATTGGCTCCTGCCACTGGAAAGCCCCCTCCCAAACGTTTCGAGGGCCTCCACACGACGTCAGATCTTGACAGAACACGCAAGCCCACAGCGGCACCCTGCATCCCGTAGAATGTGTAAATGCAGTCTCTTAAGAAGTCAGACCTCTTTATATTCCAGCCCTCCCGTGCGATCACGGCAAATCCCGATAGAAATCGTCTCTGACCACATGCATCCACATGCCGCCTCAACAAAGGCGTCGACAAGAGCCTCCTGAACACGTTCTGTGCACTTTCTCCTTTGCCCAGCACCCACTCCTCCCACCCCCCGGGCCCGGTTTAAAAAAGAGGTGGGGACTGGGCGCCGAGCCTATTTGGGCTCCAAGAAGTTTGTCCAGTCTAGCCGCCACTTTTAAAACCCAACGCTTCAGCAAATCTTCAGATTAAAATTTAAGAAACGATCTTAGTTTCAAGGCTCAGCCCACGAAATTTGGCAATGAGTCGTGCCGCCTTCCCGAATGGCAGAAGACCCGCGCCAGCCATCTGAAATGTTGGACTTCAAAGCTTCCGGAGTCGGTGTGACAGGGCTTGGGCTTCCTGCTTTCTTGTGGATCTTTCATACCCTCAAGAAGCGCCACGAAAATCGGGGGAGGACACTGCGGAGAACCCGTCCCCACTTTCGAGAGGCAGCAACACTTCGGGAGAGGCAGAGCAGGCGGAGCGGGTGCGCCCCCACCTTCGCCTCTGCGTCTCCGAAGCCGGAGTCCGTCAGCCTCAGATCCCGCAGGCGGCTCCAGGGCAGCGCCCGCACCAGGGCCTGGCGCGAACAGACCAACAAAAAGAAGGGGCCTGAAAAGGGCTTATTCGTGCTTACAGAAAATGAGGGAGGCTCGGGGCATGCTTTGCAGGGGCGCACCAGGGCCTGGCACGGGGAGAACAAAAAAGGAAGCTGAATAGGGCCAATAGGGCTTATTCGGGGCTGAAAAGCTTTAGAACAAAGTTTTGTCGGCTTTGGACAGTAGGGCCTTTATGCGATTGCCTTTTAGGAAAGAAAGGAATGGGAGGCTCGGGGCATGCTCCGTAGGGGGCGCGCGCTCTCCTGCCTGGAAGGCCTCGCCGGCCAGCTCGCTGCCGTCCACTTCCACCACCTCCAGCCGCTCGTAGTGCGGCAGCGCCCGGGCCAGCACCTGCACCTGGGCTTCGGGCAGCTGCCCCAGACTCAGCACCGTGGCCTCGGCCGCCTTCTCCCGGAAGACCTTGGCCTGGAGCTGCAGCACCGGCTCCAGGTCCGACCTGTGGGTGAACTTCAGGGTCCCCCTCTCCGCTTCGGCGCGGAACTCCGCGGGCGCCATGGGCGCCTCGCAGTTCCGGCCTTCGCGGAAGGGGATCCTGATGCTCTTCCAGGGGCAGTCACGGGCCAAGGACCACTGCACCTCCGCCCTGCACCAGCCGCGCTGCAGGTACGGCGTGCTGTTCCGGTGCAGCTGCGGGCAGGGCGGGCTGCAGCCGAAGTGGCATCCGGCACCGCAGCTACCTGTCTCGTCGGTGTCCCGCAGCTCGGCCAGCGCCACGTCCGTCACGGCGTTGTCGGGGAGGTAGAAGACCTTAGCGGTCCCAGGCAGCTCGGGCCCGGGCCGGTCGTGGAGGCCCGGCGTCAGGTCCTCGATCCTTAGCGACCAGGTCTCATCATGCGCGTAGAGGAGGTGCATGTGGGCCATGCCCTTCGCGAAGTAGACGTCCTGACGGAAGCGCATCTGTAGACATCGCAGGCCCTCATGTCCCCCAACCGCCCCCTCACGAGGAAGCAACACAGACAACGGCACAAAACCGACGTAGAGATTCTACTGTCAGCCAGTCCAAGCCCATCCTGCTCTTCAGTTCGCGGGAACTGGTACAGGGACATGTAATCCACAAAGATGGCAGCCTGGCACGTGTCCGCATTTGGCGCTGCACTTTACTCACATGCATCTAGCCATGATCTGAAAGGCTTCTTAGGGGTGTGGAGGCGGCAGGCAACAAGCTGCTCTCAGCTGGGCCGTTTCAAAGAGCAGTTTTTTGGGAGCCTCAGGGCATCTCAGGGCTCCACTCGCACATGCGAAACGACCTTCCCTACCTTGCAAAAAAAATGTGTTCCGAGCAGTGCCCAGTTGCGCCTCCCAGTCCTTGTCGAGGTTCTGGGCCGGGGCGATCTTCTGCAGGATCTTCGCGAAGGTGTCAAGTGCTTCTACCAGCACTCGCAGCCTCAGGCGCTGCAGCGGAAGTGACAACAGTCTCTTCAAAATCAGACACAGTTTACAGTTACAGATTGCGAACCTGAGCCACTGAGCTGGGGCTCCCTGCTGGAACCTGGCCACGTCCGGGATCTCGCGGCTCTCCCACGAGTGCGAGAGTGCCATGACCGAGAAGCGGTGGGTGTTGCCCACCTCACCGCCTGGCAGCTTCGCCTCCAGCTCCTCCTGCGCCAGCAGGGCCGGGCGACCGTCCTTGGTCCGCATCCCCTCGGCTTCCTGGCGCCGGGGCATGGTGCGGCCCTCTGCCAGGAGCTCCCGGAGGAAGTCGGCGCGGACGAGCCGCACCTTGGCATCCCGGCAGTACGCCAGCAGGCCCTTCTGGTCCCGAAGGCTGTAGATGGCTACCTGCGCAGGCACGGTGAGCTTGCCAAGCTAGAGACACTCGACGTAGCGAGCTCGCCTTTTCCAAGTAGGAGGGAGCGATCACAGAAGCAAAAAACAACTGCCTAGGTGTTCCAGAACCTTTGAAACTTTAAGGTGGGTGAAAGCATCTTGATGACTCCGAGTGCTTTGTGAGTCTTGCGGTGCCGTCAGTGTGACATGAAAATGTCTCGTGATGATCTCTGGAGGGAATGCAGTACACGCCATGAGTTTCGGCACCCATTCTCAAGGGCCAAATTTTAACGATTGGCTCAGCAATGAAGTCTGGAATCATCTGGAGGTGTTCTGGAGTCTTCCTGCAGCCTAGTCTGAGAGCCCGGCCTGGCTACTGGAAGCAAAACATTTCCGGCAGATTGCGGCCCGGGGAAACAGCATCCGAATGACAAATAACTAGAGGGAGTGCAGATCTCTCTGTGTGGCGCATCAGCAAGCTTCCCTGTGAACCGCCCATTGCAGCACCCCAGCCCATCCCTCGGTTTACAGGGGGGGGGGGGGGTCAGGGAAACGGAGCTGGAAGAACCCGGAAGAGGAGCCGCGCGGCCTCGGCTTTGGACTCCGGCTCCTACGAGGCGCGGCGCACACATCCATACCGCACTGAAGCCACTATGACTATTACCATAACCGCCCTTTCGTCCTCCGTGGCGGGCTCGGAGGGATCGGCGGCTTCCTCGGCTTGGCTTGTCTAGCACATGCTCAGAAAAAGGGCCGAGTCCGCACTCCAAGAGAACCCTCCCTCTCGAAGCCTCCCTCTCTCCCGTCTCATTCTAAGGCACAGCTTCGTTCCCCCCAACTTACCATCAAGCCCAGGTGCTGCCTCTGCAGGGGGTTCCTCCCTCGCACCAGCGTCTCCAGATCCTTCCCGGGGTCCGTGATGCCACAAAACAAATCCACGAGCTCTCTGTAGCTGCTTTTCACAGAGCTGCGACTTGGACACCCGCTCCCTACAACACCCCCAATAGTGCACGACGCAGCTCTGCGGCTCTGCAGCCCTCATGCCCCGGCCTGCAGCCCGGCTCACTGCCTCTGCACGCAAGAAACGAAGAACCAACGCGCGCAACGCCTCTTAAGTTGCAGCACAATATCTTTGCAGGGCCTCTGATGTACTTTCTCAGCGTTTGGACACCACGGCGTAGAATTCAAGGCTACAGCCTTTGCGTGGGCTTTCTCCGGATCCGGCTTCGCGCGCAGCACCGGAACACACCGGAAGCATTCGGAGTCGGGGCCCATGCAAGGAGTGACAGGCTGAGGGATGCCCAGGCCAGTGCACAAGGAATTCGCAAGATCCGCTGGGGTGGCGACTGGACAGCGCGGGAATCTAACAAGTCCTATATGCCAAGGAATGCCGAGAAACCAAGCTTTCTGCGGGGGCCCCGGTAAGGTTAAGGGACATCTTTTGGGTGAAGGGTTCTGGGAGGTCGGGGAGTTCCAAGGGTTCAAACAAGGCCGAGCACACGAAAAAACTTGTCACTGGCCTCTGCCTCCGATGCTACCACAGGAGGAGCCAAGCAATGCCAATCTCAAAAAGGTATAGGGTGTCTCCTTGTCATCCACCCGACCTTCCCATGCTGAGAAAACGGCCGAGTCCGCACTCCAAGACAAGCCTCCCTCTCGAAGCCTCCCTCTTCGATCTCATTCTAAGGCACAGCTTCGTTCCCCCCAACTTACCATCAAGCCCAGGTGCTGCCTCTGCAGGGGGTTCCTCCCTCGCACCAGCGTCTCCAGATCCTTCCCGGGGTCCGTGATGCCACAAAACACACCCACAAGCTCTATCTATGCAGCTGCTTTTTGCAGAGTATATAGTGCGACACGACGCAGCTCTGCGGCTCTGCAGCCCTCATGCCCCGGCCTGCAGCCCGGCTCGGGGCCTCTGCACACAAGAAAAGAAGGACGAACGCTTGCAACGTCTTCAGTTGCAAGGGCATAGAGTTCAAGGTACACAGCCTTTACATGACTTTCTTCGGATCCGGCTTCGAGTGACGCACAGGAACACCAGAAGCATTCGACTTTCCTACACCGATCACGCACCCAAACCCTTCAGGCATCAGGATCAGGAGCCAGTGGACATTTTAACTGCAGTTGCAATGCTGATCCCCGCGGTACCCAGCCTTTTGCTCCGGGGCAGCATCCGCAGGATGCAATGGCACTTCCTTCGCACCTCCAGGGTCAATGCAGGCATGTGGGACCGCGACAGCCACAACAACTGATGGCTCAGCACTCATTGCGACTTCGTGTATCGGTCCATGCCTACAGCTCTTAAGGCTGGAGAGACTTGGTGGCCTGCTGCGGCTTCTCCTGAAACCTGCAAGACTTCCACATGGACAGTGCCTTCTGCTGTTGAAAGTGGATCCGACATGATTTTGTCACGGCCCTTTGTGAACACAGATTGAACGTTCCGAAGCCCCGTGATCTTTGACATTGTAAACTTGTCCAAAGGTTCATATCCCAAGCCCAGATAACTTAAATAACCCTGGACACACAGGACGCCCTGCCGTCTGTGCTTGGACGAAACCGCCCGTGGGCTCAGGATCTGCAAACCCTGGCGCGCATCACGTGAGCCTGCGTGGGCATTGCATCCGAGGGCAGAGCCAAATGCGATGCCTGGCGCCAGCCCGAGGGCAATGCAGCTAATGCTGTGTGCTGCCATTCTGGAGTTAAAGACTGTCGTAGCCCTCAAAAGATCCTCAAAAGCTTTCAGGGGAATTTATGAGCTGAGCACTGACACAAGCACCTATAGGCGTGCTGGAACCTCTAAGATATCTTCTTGTGGCCTAGTGAGCGACACCATGAGGTCACCATGAACAAGAACACTTGCTACTGGAAGCAACGTCACATGGTCGTAGTGCGGGCCGAACCTCGGAATGTGTTCGGCTCTCACTCAGTGGCAGCTGCTACAAGCCCTGGGCATCAACACTCCGAGCGCATCTGGCCTCGGTTGTGGACTCCGGCTCCTATGAGGCTCAAGCTACTCTGCAACCCACTTGCTACTAGTACACATCCGCTATGCATCGCCCAAGCCACGAACCGTCACAAATCGCAACCGCCCTTCGTCCTTGGCAGGCTCGGAGGGCTCGGCCATTTCCTCGGACGTGCCAGAATCTGCTCTCTCCAAGTGCTCCCTCGCTTCCATCTATAAACGTCTCCAGGAAGACGAGAACATCTCTGCTAGGATCTACAGGAACCGAACGTTCTCGCGGCATAGAGCCCTCACGCGGCCCCTCCAAACTGATGCCCCAAAACCCAAAACTGCAAAATTCTGCATACAGCCCGTCCAAACGTGGACTCAACGCCCCCCCCCCCCCGCCCCCGCTCCCCCCAACAAAGGCTTTAAGCCCCGATGCCAAAGGCTCCAAAGGCGCAGCAGCTGCGGACGCCAGCCTTGCCAAGGGTTATTTTGGGGGGTATTTGGGGGTTGACAGGGTTTACAGGTTTACGAGCCCTTGCAAACGATGAAGGGTTTTCGCGCATTCAAGAAGCACCAGGTCAGTCGGCCATTTCAGACCACCCAACCACCCCCCCCCCACCCACCCCCCCAGCCGTGGAAAAAACAGCTCAGGATCCGAGCTTCAGGATTTACAGTACGCAGTTATACTCTTGACAAAAGGGGATGATGCAACAAGGTACATGTCCCTGCTATAAGTGTACATAGGTTATTCCAGGTTCGTTTTAAGGTTCAGACATACTCAGTCTTTGAGAAGCAGATTGATGGTATCCGCTGTTGGAATGCTCCTACTTCAGCCACTTCAGCCCGGGCTGTTGGAAGAAGCACAGTGATCCGCCCAGCGTAAAGCCTGAACCTTGACCCTGAAACCCTCCATCTCCAGCCCCTAAAGCCCCAAACCCTGAGACCTCTTTCATTGCAACTCCCCTTCGTACCTTGCTGCCGGCCCAGCAGCCTGCAGGGCTGAACTTGCCAAGCTAGCAGTCCCAAACTGATGGTGGGATATTTCATGTGGTGGATCTGTTGTTGTTAGAGGCCACCCTCCTCCAGACCGCACACCACTTCCCGTGCTACACCCCCAGCGCCCGACAAGTCCGAGAGGTGATCTGCACGACCCCAAACCGTGACCGCCGACGAGTTGGCACGAGTTGGCGCCTGCGCTTCGTCAGAACTATATCTCAAGACGAAGCTTGAATGTCCCTCAAGGTTGCCGGCCTCCACTGAGAGTGCAGCACTCTCTGGTGCCCAGGAACTCGTGGGCGCTGCTCCCTGGAAAGCCGCACCAAGCCAATGGGTAAAAAATTTTTTACCTGT